TAAAGACTATATGGCAGAACAAGGAATGAAAGAAAAATTTAGAAAACAAATACAAGAATATGAGACATCATTAACAAAATTAAATCAAGAAATAATTGATGAACTAGAAGAAAATAGAAAAATAAAAGAAGACTACCTTAAAGACATAGGAGAGAAATAGATGGAAGACGAAACATATTTTGAAACTGAAAACTTACAAAATTTAAAAAGACACTTACAGGAATTGCAAAAAGAAGAAGAATTTTGGAAAGGACAAGCGAAACAAAAAGATGAATACTTATCAACACCTGAAGAATATGAAGATAATATAAACTATGAAGAAGGAAATATACAAACATTACAAACAATCACAAGATCCATACGAGAAAAATTAGAATACTGGAGAGGAATAGTATTACAAAGAATGAATTATGGAGAAGGATTAGGATATGATTATCATACAGATGAACAGATATTATATGATGATTATGGAACAGACAATGAAGAAATTAAGGAACCCTTAAAAAATAAAGAACCCTTAGAAATATTTTCAGAAGAAGAAACAGAAAAACCAAAGATAGAAAAAGACAATGACATGGGATTTGGTATTTTAGAAAATGAAACAACACCAGAAGAACCAGAAATAACTATAAATACCCCACCACCCATACCACCAAAACCAAAAACAGAACCAAAAAAGAAAAAAATGTCAGACACGGAAATATTTAGTACAGTGCAAACACTAAATAACCAAGAAAGAGAAAGGATACTAAAATGGAATGAAAAACCAACAGTGGAACTTAGGAAACATTTAGATACATTGCCAGAATTTTATGGAAAGGCAGAAGATGTTAATAAATATATAGAAGAAGTAAAAAGATGGGTAACAGTTTTAGGACTACCTACAGGAGCAGAACCAGATGAACCATTTTATGGAGATCCTAAAAATAATAAGTATAAACATGCAACAGAATATAGAGCAGGAGGACATAGAGACAGAGGACAAACAGGAAATAGACACAGAGATGGGTTAGCACTGATAGAAGCACAAGTAAATACTACAGAAATAATACACACAGCAGGAGCAGACCCTATTAATTCACCAGGACATTGTGAAAGAGCAAAACAAGTAATAGACATATTATTAACTAAATGGAAATCTACAGCAGCAACAATGTATAAAGGCTTGAAAGAATGGGAAAGACCAAGAACATTAGAACCATTTAGATTTTGGTACATCACATCAGGGGGACATGAACGTCAAATAACTAACCCAATAGGATTTTATGAATTAATAAGAAGAACTTGGATATCACCAACATATAATGCTGAAGCATACCATAGATTAATGAGTATGGAATATGACCATACACAATATGAAAGTTTATCAAATTTTAATATTCAATTTGATAATGCAATGAGAGAAGCACAATTAAGCACTGCTAATCATGAATTTTCATTAAAAAACCAATATATCACAGCATTAAGAAACTACTCTGATTTAGTAAAAATAATTAATGACCACACTGCAGCAGTAGAAGCAAGTGGAGGAAATGTGACATTACAAGGAATAATGACTTTTGCAGCACAAAGAATGATAAAGGATGATATGAGACAATTATATTACAAAAATCCTTATGAGAGAAATTATAATAGACAAAGAGGAAGAGAAGGACGAAGGAATATACAAGGAACAAGGAGAAATAGATTTGGAATAAGAAACATTCAGATATCAAAAGATGAAACAAAACACATAAATGAATTTGGAAATGAAGATCATTATGTAGGACAAGGAAAATTTGGATATGGACCTTCAGGAGGAACAATCAAAATGGAATTGCATAAACAGAAAAGAGAACAAACTAAATGCTTTAAGTGTGGAGAATTAGGACATTATGCAAATGAATGTACAGGGAAAAGAATGGAATCAACAACTAAGGATAAAACATGTGACCTATGTGGAGAATTAGGACACATCAAGAGACAATGCCCACAAAATATAATAAATGAATCAAAATCAATGGCAAGAGACAGAAGAAAGGAACAAGAAGTATTGAATAGTACAACCAAATGTTTTAATTGTCAAGGATTAGGACACATGGCAGGAGATTGTCCAACACCAGATAAAAGAAATATGCTTTCAGCAGTAAAAATACAATTAATGAGAAAGGTTTGCCATTCATGTAATGGAAATGGACATTATTCTTATGACCATAAAAAAGTAAATGTATTTACTAAGAAAAATAATAAAGGAAGCAGATTAATAATAAAAAATGACAATGAAAATAATTATGACAATAGGCAATATAACAATTATAATAAAAGAAACTTCACTAGGCAATATACTGGAAAAAGAAAAGTAGTTTTTAGGAAAAGAAATAGTTACTATGGGAACTGACAACACTCGGAATATTTTGATAATTTGAATAAAGAACAAAAATTATTGAGAATAACTAATAATATGAGAAAGGAGATACATGAACCACAGATAAATTTTATACAAACAGCTTTAATGTCAACATTAACATCTATATTAGGAAATAAATTAAAGGATTTGATAATCACTGCTTTAAAAGATAAGACCAGAAAATTTCTTAAAAGTCATTTTAGGAAACGATGTACAGAGATAATCCGTAAATTTATAATATCACAGTTAAAGGGGAAATTCACTAAATATCTAACAGATTTTATAATGACATATGTAGAAGCCAATATAGATAATATATTGACTAACAGCACAACTCAACAGATAGCTGAAAAAATTACTAATAATATAGTTAAGGGCTTAGGGACATACTTATTTCATTAAAAACTCAACGTCATAACATCTCTAATAGGGCTTTATACTGATACAAAAATCTCTTTTTTGTTGACTGTATGACTCATCTATTTTAACCCAATTTCCGAAGAGACCACGGTAATGAAAAAAAAGGTATAAAAAGAAGGGACCAGGAACTTGTAGCTAGAAAATCGATCAATAACCATGGTCAACCAAAATAACTTTGAAAAAATATTAGAAAATGGAATTTACATTCATGAGCAAGTAAAGAGTTTAAGAGAATGATATAAGGATAAAATACAAGGATTCGATGATATCTTTGAAGAAATACAAAGACTCTGTAAAAATACATTAAATCTCATTTTACAATGGAATCAATCTGATATGACTACAAAAAACTTTATTTGTGCAATAACAAGTATTGAAGGAATGCACATAATTGCATTAGGAGAAGTAATACAGATAGGAATAAAGTCAGATGCAATCAATAACCAATTGAGAGAAAATAAAGAAAAAGTAAAAGAAATACATCAACTCCTAAGTGAAGAACTAAGACAAACAGTTGAATTTTACAAACAACAACGAGTTAACTATCTAACAGAAAGTATAAAAGGAGGAACTTTCAAAAATAAATAAACAATAATTAAAAAATGATAAACAAGCAACAAATAGAGTTTGCTTTAGAAGCACTGAGAATAGGCAAAGTAACATTTACCACAAAAGAAAAACAACACTTATGTACAACAAGAGATACAACTAAGAAATTTAAAGAAGCTAAAGAAATCTGTAACAAAGGAATTTTACTTACACAAAAATGGAAAACTGTTGGAAAAATTAGAAGATTTTTCATAGGACGACAGATTTTCCTATTACTAAAAAAGCTAGATGAAATAGATAATGAATTGTTGGAATACATTAGAAGAGATGAAAGCATCTGTTTATTAAAGGCAACCAATGAACTAATACAGTTAATAGAATGGGAAAATAAACCAATAGATGATATAAGTATGGATATGGAAGAAATACTATAAAATATCAAAAAGAATTGTATACAAATCAGGATAATACAAGGAAAAGAACCCATAAAAAGTATATAAAACAGCAAAAATAACACAAGGAATCATAGTAATAGATTAACTATATCAAGAATCAGGAAATAACAATATAACTATAAATACCACCCATAAGGAATCAAAAAATGGCAAAACAAACCATGGAAAAAGATCAACAAACAATTTTAGCTATAGGATATGGTGTTAAGGAAATGATAGAAAATACAAGACAGGAATGCGAACACATAATGACTGACACTACAAGAAGAAAAATTGATAAACTGCAAGAAATCAATAATAGGACATTATTAGATGCCCAAAAATGGAATGAATTGAACTTTTTAGAAAAACTTTTAGTAAAATTAAAAATAAAA